ATAAACCTATTTTTATTCATTTATTTATTGAATTTATATACCGCCCTATACCCGCAAGTTTCAGCGTGGTTCACAGAATAAAATCAGAATATAAAACCACAAAATACTTAATCAAAATAAAAACAGCAACCCAATAACTCCCCCCTCAAAAAAAACCACATTTTAAAAGGGCATAGGATGTCAATCAAATCAACCAAAGGCCTGGTTAAAACGGAACATATTTTTTTAAAAAAAACAAACAACAAACAGCGGTCAGGAATGGTGGGAGTTGTAGTTCAAGGACATCTGGGTCATCCCCCCTCATCTGCTGCACCCCACACAGTCTGCACTGGGGTTTGTAGTCCCCAGGATAAGCAGCCAGAATAATCATGGGAATAGTTGCTTCTAATCTGCCAGAGGTTCAAATGGGTTTACTTCTGCCTGGGAGGTGATGATGAGAGAAATAATTTCCCTTGGCTCAGGAGCTGCCCAGAACAGTTTCACTCAGAGCACTACTGCATCTTTCAAGATCTGTTTCAAGATCTTGTGGTGAGCTCTCCAGAGGTTTGGAGCCAGGTGCATCAACAACACACTCATAACACACAATTGGGTTGCAATTCACCAACACCTCCAGAAGCCCTTGTCTTAGTCCTAATCAGGCTTTTGGGGTGAATCACAAGGAGGACAAGCTGAATCCGGGCAGAAGAGGGTTGATGAGAATAGAGCACAGGTAGGCAGCAATGAAAGAAGACATGGTTTTTCCATTCCCACTCTGTGTCTGTTACATGCAGCCCTGTTCCTGTTCTGCTGCAGTTCATCTTCCACCAACACGTACATGATTATCCCACTGCCCATTGTGGTGAAACTCTGTAACTTACGGAATTTATGTAATAATGAAAACTGTGTTGCTGTAACGTTACTCCATACCATTCCTTCAAATGCAAGGGAAAAGCAATGCAAATGGCGGGCGGGTGGAGGAGATGCAATAGATGACATACTTTTTACCAGACTGAAAGAGCAATACCTATCGTATTCACTGGATCACTTTCTGTTTCTCACATGGGACAAATAAGCAAACACATGCACTTTCTGTTTGTATTGGAATACACCAACATCCCTAAAGGTTGTTGTTATTTAGTTGTTTAGTCATGTCCGACTCTTCGTGACCCCATGGACCAGAGCACGCCAGGCACTCCTGTCTTCCACTGCCTCCCGCAGTTTGGTCAAACTCATGCTGGTAGCTTCGAGAACACTGTCCAACCATCTTGTCCTCTGTCGTCCCCTTCTCCTTGTGCCCTCCATCTTTCCCAACATCAGGGTCTTTTCCAGGGAGTCTTCTCTTCTCATGAGGTGGCCAAAGTATTGGAGCCTAAGCTTCAGGATCTGTCCTTCCAGTGAGCACTCAGGGCTGATTTCCTTAAGAATGGATAGGTTTGATCTTCTTGCAGTCCATGGGACTCTCAAGAGTCTCCTCCAGCACCATAATTCAAAAGCATCAATTCTTCGGCGATCAGCCTTCTTTATGGTCCAGCTCTCACTTCCATACATCACTACTGGGAAAACCAGAGCTTTAACTATACAGACCTTTGTTGGCAAGGTGATGTCTCTGCTTTTTAAGACGCTGTCTAGGTTTGTCATTGCTTTTCTCCCAAGAAGCAGGCATCTTTTAATTTTGTGACTGCTGTCACAATCTGTAGTGATCATGGAGCCCAAGAAGGTAAAATCTCTCACTGCCTCCATTTCTTCCCCTTCTATTTGCCAGGAGGTGATGGGCCCAGTGGCCCTCATTGACCTTCCCTGAGTGTTTTCCATGCATGGAATGTGTATTTGTATGCAATAATACCTCTGTCTTGCCTCAATGGAGTGTGTGGCAAGTGTAGAACTTTTTGGTTTCTGTATAGCTGGAATGTAGCCTACTGCACAATGAATTACATACCTGTTGCTCTGCCTACTATTTGCCTCTGATCCTGCCCACCATTGGTATCTGACCCTCCAAGAGGCTGCCCATGAGGGAATGTAGCTGTCATAGAAAAGCCTATCTCCTGAGGCACCATACAATAAGCCACACTTTTTGATGGGACAACTCATCAGGCCTTCATTGCAAAATGTAGGGCTTGGGTTGGCAGATATGGGGAGAGACACTTCTTCAAGTATTTGGGTATTAACACCTTGAACTGGGCCCAGTAGCAAATAGGCAGCCAATTCAGCTCTCTCAGGACAAGTGTTATACAGTCCCTCCTCGCCTCATCACATTCTGCCCTAGCTGGAGCTTCTGGGCAGTCTTCAAGAGTAAGCCCCACTTAAGAGTACATGGTAGTCTATCTAAGCAGAGCATGGATCACACAGCTAGGCTACCCAGCTCCATTTGTATTAACTTTAAGTATCTTTTCTTCCAATTGCCTTGTTGATGAAACACACCGAGACGAAGGCCTCCCAGGCTTGTGTGTTGAGCACGCTGCTTTATGGAAGTGAGAGGTGGGCAACTTACAACCGCCAGGAGCGATGCCTCAACAGCTTCCACATACACTGTGTCAGGAGGATCTGGGGCATCACATGGCAGGACAGCATCTCAAACAAAGATGTGCTCCCCCTAGTCCACATTCCCAGAATGTTCGCACTCCTGTCTCAGCAAAGTCTACGCTGGCTTGGTCATGTCCACAGAATGGAAGATGTCAGGATCCCCAAGGACATGCTCTACAGGGAGCTGGCTTCAGGCACCAGGCTTGTTGGTGGAACAACTCCCAAACAGACGGATGCTAACAACATGAGAGATTTGTCCCCATCACCTTCCCTGTTGAGTTCCACAAGGGGCAGCCCTGATATTATGGCGGAGGAAGCTGGCAGCCAGTGGTCTCCTCTGAACTGGTTGTAAGTCTTAGTCAAGCAGGTGGGGGCTGGTTGAGGCTGATGGGGTAGTGTCACATTTGACCAAATGAAGCAGCCTCTATATAAGCTTCTGGTATTATAGTGGTCCACTTCTAACGCTAATGTTATACTGATTGTTTTCTTTATGGCTGCATTAACCACACCGCATGTCCATCACATGTGAAGATTATCTCCTCTTCTCTTCTGACATTCCTAAAAATTAACCTCAAATGTACCTTTGGAATAATATAGCATCTGGTCATAACCTGAAAACAATTTTCTTTCCAAAAAATGCACAAAGAAAAATGATTACCCTACTTCAAAATATATCCCCAAATGTCAAAAGAAACAGGTCTCTCAACTAATCCTAAGATTTCTTTATCTGCTCTTCTGGGCAATGAAATTCTAGCAGAACTGCAGGCATTAGGATTGACATCCTATTAACTGACTTTATTATTTTCTTTGATTGTCTGATTGGTTTATTATGTGCAGACCGCAAAGAACCACCTTAACTAGCAGACATGGATCTCACCGTGATCAAGACAATTTTTCGCATCCCTATGACTATCCTATCAACCCTTTTCGTGCGGTACCATGCATTGCCTTCACTAATATTCAGGATCATGATGTGGTGAGTGCATAGCTCAGGTTATATACAGCAGTGGTGGGGAATCTGTGGCCCTCCAGATGTTGTTGGACCCCAGCTCCCATCAGCCTCAGCAGGAATGTTCAAGTGTGATGAGTGTTGGAAGTCCACCAACAGCTGACACATGAATTGACTTTCATCCATGGTCAACTACGCAGTGTCCTAACCAGGAAGCAGTATCTGTCTGGTGCAAGTTCAGAAGCCAGGAAGCCAGGAAGCTAACAGCTGCAATAGGACAGCGAGGAAGAATCTGTGGTCCTCCGCTGTTCTCAGACTCCAGCTCCCATCAGTTCCAGCCATCATGAGCAATGGTCAGGGATGATGGGAATTATAGTCCAACAACATCCAGAGGGTCACCTGTTTTCTACACCCTGCACTAGGTCTGACTCTAGTATCTACAGCAGGTGTGGGTAAGTTTTGGCTTTCCAGCTGTTGATAAACTACAACTCCCATCAACCCAAACAAGCATCAGAGGCAGGAAGAGAGTCCCTAAATCTGATCTTGATGGAGGGTTGGCTTAGTTGCCAAACAAATCGGCTCCCAAACGCTGCAAACCTGGGAGTAAGTGTTCTGGTTTGCGAACGTTTTTTGGCAGCCAAACATCAAATGTGACTTCTGCTTGAGTGCAGGAAGCACCTGCAGCCAATCGGAAGCCACGCCTTGGTTTTCAAACGGTTTCAGGAGTCGAATGGACTTCCGGGACGGATTAAGTTCGAGAACCAAGGAACCACTGTACATGAATCTATGAGAGGAGAAGATAAAAAAGGAACAAAAACAAGGAAGTAAGAGCTTGCCAAACAACACTAGCAAAGAAGAGCCATAAATAAACAGGATGGCAATAAATGGCCCCTTTAAGGACTCTAAGGCTATACTTTTAAAGCACATTCGAAGCACAGTCTTTCCTTCAAAGAATTCTGGGTACTGTAGTTTCTTAAAGGTTGCTGGCAATGGCAACTCTGTGGCAGGTAAACTACAGCACCCAGAATTCTTTGAGCGGAAGTATGTTTCGAATGTGCTTTAAAGGCACAGTGTGCTCACAACCGAAATCCAAGGTATTTTTTTTTAATGGGTAGCAGGTGTACCAAAAACAGACAGAGAGAGTCATATTTTGACACACAGAGAGGTCAGGCTAGGAATTGTGTCTTTCCCTAGGCTATCAAACCATCAGTAATCTCAGGATTGCAACTCTCTGCTGTGGGAGGGTAACTGGCAGCTGTTCCTCAGGATCATACAGGTTGTTTTCTCTGGTAGTTATGACGGCTCAATGCACTGAAACTTCGAAGGACCGCTCCCAATGGCTTCAGAAAGGAACACAGCACACACACACACACCCCAAAAATAATAATCCTGGAAACTTTAGTTTGTTAAGGGTGCCGAGGACTGTTGGGAGACTTCTGTTCAGCTCACAACTACAATTCCCAGAATTCCCTAGGAAGAGGGATTCTGTGAGGGTAATAGGAGCCTCCTGACAACTCTCAGCACCCATAACAGACTACAGCTCCCAGGATTCTTTGGGGAAAGCCATAGCTGCTTGAAAGTGGTATCATCCTGCTTTAAATATATGGTGCAAATGGGGCCTTGGACACTCAGCTGTTATGTAATAACATCTGATTATTTATATCATAAACCAAATAGATATTAATATACAGTGGTACCTCTGGTTACGAACTTACATTTGTTCCAGAGGTCTGTTCTTAACCTGAAACTGTTCTTAACCTGAGGTACCACTTTAGCTAATGGGGCCTCCTGCTGCCACAGTGCCACCGGCGCATGATTTCTGTTCTCATCCTGAGGTAAAGTTCTTAACCTGAGGTTCTACTTCCGGGTTAGCAGAGTCTGTAACCTGAGGTGTTTGTAACCCAAGGTACCAGTGTAATCATTTCCGATGGCTGAAGAGCCTTCAGAGCCCTGGAAACAGAGAGGGTTGGCCACAATATGGGTTAGACAGCAGGCCAAAGCAAAGCTGGTGAGCAGCAGAAACTCTGCCACCCTGATGTCCACTGGAAGTGCAAAATCACTCTTGCCTCATCTTGCTTCTCTCTATACTTTTAGGTTCAAACGTCATAGAAGGGGTGTGAAAGTGGAGCACGTGGATTGTGATGGCTACCGATTCAGTTACTTCACGCGGGGGCAGCCTGGACCTCGGCCATCCATGCTGATGCTTCATGGCTTCTCTCTTGACAAAAACATATGGTTAAATACAATCGAAGTAGGTTCCCATTTTGTTATTCGGACAATGCCTGATATTTGCCCAGGGAGCTGCTTCAAACTGGACAACTGGCACCTTTGCAAGTGCCACAAAAATGCTTATTCTGCACTTGTAAGGAATCAATCATTTAGCGTGGCGACAATAACACTCTGGAACTCTCTGTCCCTTGACTCTATTTATTTATTAAATTTGTATCTCACCCTTCCTTCCTTCCCTTGCTATATTGTTTTGTATGCAAATCATATTTTGTTTAGGCAAGTCTACCCAGATATGTAAAGCTGACATGTATTTTAATATGTAATTTTACTTAACCATATATAGTTTAAACTGTTGCTAATTTTGATTATGGTGCTTTTTAACGTTAGCTTGTTTTTAACTCTGGCTTTGATTGGCAACAACTTTAATATATATATTATGAAAACCACTTAGAGGCTTTTTCACAATTAAGCAGTATACAAATTCTGTTAAATAAAGGAACAAAGCAGCTCCATCTACACCCTACATGCAAAGCACTCCTATACCATGTTAACAGTCACGGCTTCCCCCAAAGAATCCTGGGAAATGTAGTTATGGCTCCCCTACTTAACAAACTACAGCTCCCAGGATTCTCTGGGGGAAGCCATGACAGTTTAAAGTGGTATTATACTTTCAATGTATCGTGCAACTGAGGCCTTTGTTAAACTTCTCTACAAGTAGATAAATAGGTACCGCTCTGGCGGGAAGGTAAACGGCGGTTCTGTGCGCTGCTCTGCTTTTGCCAGAAGCGACTTAGTCATGCTGGCCACATGACCCAGAAAAACTGTCTGTGGACAAACGCTAGCTCTGTAAAGCGAGATGAGTGCCACAACCCCAGAGTCATTCGTGACTGGACTTAACAGTCAGGGGTCCTTTACCTTTCTTTTTTTTACTGCCTTTCTGCCCAGGCACCCAAGGTTGTTTAAAATCTTAAAATACTAAAACAAACAGAAGATATAAAATATAGAGCAACAGAGTCCTCTCAAGCTGACTGATGGTCTCTCCAGGAGCTGATGGCATAAGTTCTGAAGCCTGGGCCTCCCTTACTTCTGCCTTCCCTCAGGTCACACAGGTCTTTCTTAAGCAACCCCAGGCAAGGTGGGGAAAGTAGCTATCCTAACAGCTGTCTTGGGCTGTTGATAGTTCCAGCAAGAGCTGATGGTTCAAATACTCCCTGTCTGTACACATGAGACCAGCCTGCTAAAAAAATATGCCACCTTAACCACACCACCCTTCAGTAACGAAGAGGTCCAGTTATGCAGTTGGTACGGCACGAAACACTTAATCCCAGGGTCATGGGTTCAAACCTGGGCAAAAGATTCCTGCATTGCAGTGTTGGACTAGATAACCCTTGTGGGCCCTTCCAACTAAAATTTTATGATCCTCTATGATTCTATGCTTGTTTTGATTCCTTGGTTTTGTATGAAGAACGTCGTCTTTCCACAGCTCTTTCCTCGTAACCTCCACTTGATCTGCCTTGACTTGCCCGGTCATGGAGAAACCACTCGCCTGCTGGGGGAAAGTTACACAGCTGCAGCTCAGACTAAACGGATACACCAGGTAAGGCCTCCGTTTACCCAACAGAGACCCATTCTATCTTGAAAGCTGGCAGGCAAGTGGTTCCTGGAGAAGACCTTTACTGATTGGTGGAATGTGGGAATTGTCATCATGGCTGACTGTGTGATCACTTCAACTGGGGCCAAAGGGCCGCTTAGAAGAAACCAAGTTGGGAGTTGAACACTGGTTTGCAGGTTGTGGCCCAGCACTCTAAAACCACTACACCACATTGGCACTGGTGCTAGAAAGAAAGGAGAGGCCTGGTTTTGTGTGTTGAATAACCAATAAAACAGATCACCATCTTCTCTGGAAAAACACCCTGCCTGGCTTAGTTGCTTAGGGTCATAAAAATGCCTAAATATATGTAACACGATTTCTCTTTACCTGCACTGCATAAAAATAAGTAATAATTTAATAATAATATTTTTATTATTTCAGTTTGTTGAGGCCATTGGCTTGAGCAAAAAGCCTTTTCACCTGGTTGGCATGTCTATGGGAGGAATGGTTGCCGGCGTTTATGCTGCTCAGTACCCATCTGAGATTTTCTCCTTGTCCCTCCTTTGCCCGGCAGGTGAGTACCAAAACTCTTCAGATCTCCTTCTCCAGTCGCCCTTCCAAAATGACACGGGTGATTATTCCTAGAAACTCGGAACTAAGTCATAGCATCGCAGAGTTGGAGGTGATCCCAGGGGTCATCTAGTCCAACCTCCTGCAATGCACGAACCTTTTGGCCAATGTGGAGCTGGAGCCCATGGTAATGGCGACCTTCTTATGGAACATTCTCCCCAGCTGGTGCCTTGCCATTTGCTTTTGAAGTTGCTTTTACTAGTTGATCCTTTAAATTCTGCTGCCATCTTGTCTGTTGAAACTGCGGTTGTGCCACAAATTGCTTTGGTTTGTCTGGACATTCTGCATTGTCTCCCAACTCCTAGGTCTAAAGTATCCAACAGAAAACGAATTCTTCATACGCTTAAAAGAGCTGATTCAGGCCAAAAACCCTGAGGATACGACTCTTATTCCAGTGACTGACAAGCAGGGCAAACAGTTGTTCAAACTCTGCTTGCATCGCCCCAACATTATAAACACACAGGTGAGGGAAGCTGTACTCCAAAGAATGCCCAATCCTCTGCAGTGATGTTTCCTACCTATGCCAACATCCTTTTTTTTTTTAAATGATATTTATTACTTTCCAACAATTTGAACATACATAGAAAAAGAAAATAAACAATACAATACAATACAAAAACAATACCTAACACTAAACCAACAAAAACAATTTAAACTAAGAAAACAAAACAAAAACAATTTAATACACATCAAATAATTTCAATCCTTCATTCACTTATTTCCATGACCTCCTCACACCTCCCTTTTTGTATTCCACTTCTATTTAGCTGTTTCAGCAATTCCTTTCCATCTTCCTCTGCTTTCCATCCTATAATTATCTTAACACATTTTAACCTTATTTTTCCCTTTAATCTATTTATACTTAATTCCTTATAACATTTCTACTGAAGCCATATAACTTCATTCCAACATTTTTCTAACATTCATTAATTTTACAATATTTCTGTAAATAGTCTTTAAACTTTTTTCAATCTTCTTCCACCGACTCTTCTCTCTGGTCTCGGATTCTGCCAGTCATTTCCGCCAATTCCATGTAGTCCATCAACTTCATCTGCCATCTACCTATGCCAACATCCTATCCTCACTCCTCAAAACTGCTTAAGCAGGAAAGGCACAGGCTGAAATCTGAAAACTATGGAATTAGCTCCCACAGTATAGGTAGATATGGCTCCCAACTTGGATGGCTGTTAAAAAGGATTGGATAAATTTCTGGAAGAGGATATCCACAGCTACCAGCCACAATGGCCTTTGGATGCCAGTTGCTGGAGACCACAGAAGGGGAGAGCGCTGTTGCACTGAGGTCCTACTTGTGGGCTTCTCAAAAGATATCTGGGTGGCCACTGTGAGTAGGGGATGCTGGTCTGGATGGGTCTTTGGCAAGAGAGTGCAAGTTCCCTGTAGGTAATACCAGGATGCCTTTCACCTGCAACTGGTAAATATGATAGGAGCTGGGCCCCCAAAGCCAGCAAGGCTGCCTCATCCCTATTTTGAAGTGAGGTAATGCATGTTAGCAACTAAAGACCACCAATCCATTAGACCGTGATAACCAGAGCCCAAAATTACATAACTACACCATTGATTAATGAATGCGGCAGCTAGACTGGTGACTGGGAGCAGCTGCCTAGACCACATAACACCTACACTGGCTCCCAGTACGTTTCCGAGCACAATTCCAAGTGTTGGTACTGACCTTTAAAGCCCTAAACGGCCTCGGCCCAGTATACCTGAAGGAGCGTCTCCACCCCCATCGTTCAACCTGGACACTGAGGTCCAGCTCTGAGGGCCTTCTGGCAGTTCCCTCACTGTGAGAAGTGAGGTTACAGGGAACCAGGCAGAAGGCCTTCTCGGTGATGGCACCTGCCCTGTGGAACGGCCTCCCATCAGATATCAAGGAAATAAACAACTACCTGACTTTTAGAAGACATCTGAACCCTGTACAGTGGTACCTCGGGTTACATACGCTTCAGGTTACATACGCTTCAGCCCTGTTTAGGGAAGTTTTTAATGAGTGATGCTTTAATGTATTTTTAATCTTTTGTTGGAAGCCACCCAGAGTGGCTGGGGAAACCCAGCTAGATGGGTGGGGTATAAATAATTGTTATCATCATCATTATGGTCTGGCAGCAGCAGGCCAAGAATGAATGTGTAAATACCAGAATGAGCAACTACCACTACAGCATCTCTACTGTAACAGCCATTTTGCCAATTCGCAGCCGATAATTCCTATAAACTCATAAAAGTGGAACAGTTCTGAGGTGAATTCATTTCCGTTCATAGCAATGCTTTATTAATTTCTTCACATGCTGTAAAAAAAAAGGGGGGCAACAGATTGTACTTTGCATATTGATATGCCTTGTAATTCTTTTTAAATGTCAATATGCCAAGTTTCCATCCGGTCTATGAAATACATAGCCAGAGAATCCAATGTATCACCACCACCAGCTGTCTTAAGAAAGGAACAACATATCGTTCCCTGACTCGAACCTCACAGCCTTCCGATGTTGTCATCTTTGACTCAGACCTTCTTGTTTTCCATGCTTAGCTGCTGAAGGGTTATCTCAATGATCGGAGACCACATAAGATGTTTTTCATAACATGTAAGTAGAGAAACCAGTTGTGGAGTCATTCTATGTTGCTTCACACATTACATGGAGTTAAGCCAGCTGAGAATCAGGAGCACACTCGGCAGCTGACAAGCATACCTGCATAAGTCTGTTGCATTCACACATTCCAGTTTTCTGAAGAAGCAGAAAGCGGCTTGCTAAATATTCTTGAGAGATGCTCATGCATCAGAGAAAGGGGGAGGTATGGATTCAAGCTATCACTGGAGCATAGAAAGATGTCTTATTGCGTCAGACCATTGGGTCCACCTAGTTATACTGACTGGCAGTGGCTCTCCAGGGTTTCAGACTGAGGACTCTACCAGCACTACCTAGATATGGCCATCAATGGCTACTAGCTATGATACCTGTTATGAGACACATCTGAAGTTTTGCAGTGAGGGCCCAAGGAGATGCATGAGTGAGACGTCCCTGGTTGTGGTGCTATTATTCACCCCCTGCACTCCTTCAAAAGGGTGGGATAGAAGTGGAACAAATAATATTTGTTTTTACCGTACTGCCCCAAATATGACACACTTCTTTTTTTCCCAAATTCTGACTGTGAAAAGTTAAAAGTGTGGCTTATATTCGCGACTTTACAAAAATTGGCTTGGAGCGGGCTTGTCCCTGGATGTTGCCTGATTTCAGCTGGGCCCGCTCCCAAGATGGCGGTGCAGCGAGGGAGTCCCTGAGAGGGAGCCAGAAGGCGGGGAGGAGGAGGAAGGAAGGGAGGGAGGAGCACAGACGAGAGAGAGAGAGAGCGAGCGAGCAAGAAGGTCTGCTAGGAGGAACAGGAGATGCAGCCAGTGTGCTGGGACTGGTGCTAGCCTGAGGTGCTGCCTGACTTTAACTCGTCAAGGGACGCGTGAGTCCCGCCAGCTGCTGCCTCTCCTCACTCCTCCGGAGTGGTGAAGGCGCTGCCTCCTTGGGCCCCGCTCCTCCTCAGGTATTGTCATTTCCTCCCCCCCCTTTAATTTTAAAGGGATGACTTATATTCGGGGTGCGGCTTATATTCCAGCCAATACAGTAAATGCAGCAAACTGCAGCTGGGGATGGGGGAGATTAACTAGGAAAACAGCTGGGGAGGCAGCTAAAGGTCCTTCCTCTGTGACACAGCTCCTGATCAAATTAACACAAGCAGGTAACGTTATTTTTAAAAGCTGCAGAAGATTGTGATTAGGGATCCCCTTGACGTATCTAGTTCCCCCTCTGTGCATGACAGAAACAGCCCTAACTCTGCTTCCTTGTTGGTAAAGGTTTCTTAGACATCTCCAGTGCTAAGTCCAGATACAGCCTTCACGACAATATGAGCAAGATTAAGGCACCTACACAGATCATTTGGGGACGGAGTGACAAGGTAAGTTGTGCGTGCGCATGCTTGTGTTCCTAGGGAGTGAGGCAAAAGAAGTGAGCTGTTTTGGTGGCATTTCATTTCCCGAGGTTGTTGCTGTTCTGAATGGTTCGTTTATTTAAATTTGGCACATTTACGTTCCCACCTTTCATAATGGAAATCATAGCAGCATGCATCGGCTTCCTAGACAGTCTCTCCTCCAGACACTGACCAGGCCCAGACCTGTATTTTCTTTAGCAAGGTGGCTGCATCACATGCTCTCAGACCATGGCCTAGGTTAGCTCAAAACAAAGAACTTGGTTCATGGCCTTCATTAAGCTGGACATGTAAGGCAGGAAAAAGAAGTGCAGCAAATAATTCCTTTATGGCTTCTACAAACCTAACTGAAGCATACATCCTGACACCACAGCCACCAATCGTTAAAACAGATACAAATAGGCACATGCCAACCAACAAACTACCATGTCAGTCCAATCAATATTTGTTTATAATCTGAAATTTAAGGTGCCACAATTCCAACACCTGCCCTGTCCTAAGAGAGCAGGTAATATGGATGCCCTGGGGAACATAAATTCCCACTGAAGAGATGACATACTAAATCACACGAGTTCAAATTTAAGAAGGTGAATACAAAATGGGATGAAGACCACTTCATTCTCAGAGTAAGGTGAATAATGTTACAATAACTGTGCAATGAGCATTTTTAATGATTCTGTATTTTCTTTGTTGTATTGTGAATTTTACTATTATATGAAAGTCAATCTGAGATGCTTGTGCAATTAAGCTTAATCAGTTGGTCAGTAGAGTGACCAACAGAATTGGGATTCAGCTTGTCACTAAGTACCACTTAGCAGTTGCAAAGTTACTGTGCAAGACGAAACCTCTCTGAATGGAGCAGGACTTCCTCTCTCCCTCCTATGTCCACCGAACCACAAATTTGATCTTGGTTGTTCCCCCAACCCTTTTAGAGCAGATTTGGGGGCAGGGGTCCACAGGAGGATGAGAGGGAGGGGAGATTTGTTGGATTCAGTTGTGACTGACTACTGATGATGGTGATGGTGGTAATAGTCATACGATAACACAGTATAGATTTATACCATAACTCACCAAAGGTTAGGGATGCTATCAATAGTCACGGGTGAGAGATTTCCTCCCAGTGCCATGCAGACACCAGGGGGAAAATATATACTCATTCTTTGTTGTTCAGGTCTTTGATTCGTCCGGCGCAGAAGTTTTGGCAACAGCAATTCCCATCTCCCAAGTGCATATGCTGGATAAATGTGGACACTTCATAGCATTCGAGAGACCCAAGAAATCTGCAAAGCTCATCCTAGAATTCTACAATTCAGTTTGTGACAAAGCAGAAACGAAGAAGGTGGCATAAACCTCACTGAGTCCAGCAGCTGGAGTATTTAAAGGGACTTCCTACTCTGGAAAGAAAAAACACGGGGCATAACGTTGTGGGTGTCTGTGCTGGCTTCCCCCATTTGTTACAAGACGGTTATTTATTTATTTCTAAAGTTGGTTCTGTCCCACCTTCCAGCCCTGGACTGACCTTAAGGATTCTGGCATGTTCAAGTTGACTTCTTTCCTTCAACATATTGGAACCTGGAATTAAATTGCACGATTTGCAGCACAGTCCTATGCACGTCTATTTAGACGTTAGTCTCATTGAGTTCACTGGGGCTCACTCCCAGAGAACCGGTACAGCAGAGGTGGGGAACCTGGGGTGTTTGTTGTGGTTGGCCTCCAAAGCCCACCAGCCCCAGTCATTGCCAATGGTCAGGGGTGGAGGAGCTGGACCCCAATAGCATCCGGGGAGGGCCCACGTTCCCCATGCTAGTGTCACAGCCTTCAATCATAAAACCAAACTGCGAGCCTTTATGGAATCATATTGTGTAATTTTTACTTGATGCCTGTCACTTCCCCTCTCCTTTATTTCAAAAATAGGATGCACTTCAGAAACGGACAGATCTGTCAAATGCACCTTGCTATCTCAACAGACAGCATATACATTTTTAAGACAAACTTTAGGCTGCTTCCGAGATTCAGCTGAGATGGTGGTGCCAGAAAGACAGGTCCCTTTTTACAGTCAATATTCCATCTGCCACCAAATCCTTATTCAGACACTTCTCACAATACGTTGCAAAAACAAAAACGCTGCCATTTTTCTCCATCCCTTCAATAAAGCTCTGGCCACACCTCCTCCCTTGTCAGATCTCAGTCCTTTCACCTCTTAACCAAACTGAGCATCCAATGAGAATTCATCTCTCCATACTGGGAAGTCTGTGATGCCCCTCCTCAAATTTTACAAAGTCCTGTGCCCTTCCACATCCAGCATAACTGCCTGGTCTTTCCTGTTAAAAGCAATCCAAGGTTCACAAATTGGGCTCACTCCTCTCTGCCTTATATTCACCATTATCTCTCTGCTTCTAATATTCACTGACATTTCCACCACCACCAAGTTGCTCAGAAACTGCCATGGATCTGCTCGGTTTTGGTGCCATTTCTGGGATACTCCCCTTGGATCACCTGCATAGTTCTCTGCTTCTTTTCCTTCAATTCCTTCCCCCAAAGTGCACATTTTCCATACAGCATATTGCTTAGCCTCTTAAGTCCACATCCCCAAGGGCAAAATGAAGCTCTGCAGAACAGACCTGTGAATGCCAATCAAAAGAAAGTCCAGCTGTTTCCAATGGTGCTTAGTCCAAAATTACCGTATTTTTTGCTCTATAAGACTCACTTTTTCCCTCCTAAAAAGGGGAAATGTGTGTGCGTCTTATAGAGCAAATGCAGGCTGCGCAGCTATCCCAGAAGCCAGAACAGCAAGAGGGATTGCTGCTTTCACTGCGCAGCGATCCCTCTTGCTGTTCTGGCTTCTGAGATTCAGAATATTTTTTTTGTTTTCCTACTCCAAAAACTAGGTGCATCTTGTGGTCTGGTGCATCTTATAGAGCGAAAAATACGGTAGTCTTTAAAGGATTAAAACTTGCCCATTTAACCATGTTTGTTCATATCCCTAGATGCCCTTGTCTTTTCATCATTCCTCCAGTGTTGACATTTACATTGTAAGCTTACTGGGGTAGGGACCTTAATTCCTTCCCATAATTCCTCTTTGTAAAGCATCATGTAGCACAGTTTCCAGCAATCCTGTGCCCCTCAGAAGTTTTGGACTACAACTTCTATCAGCCTCAACCAGCCTATGCACTACTAGACAGTGGGAATTGTACATGAGGATGTCACATAGAAAGATGGGCTATGGAATTTGACATGACTCAGAATTGCTTCTCTCGCTATAATGCGATGAAGGTGATTGTTGCTCCATGGGTGGCACCAGCAAAGAGAGACAAGCAATAGGACTCGAGGTTCTAATTGTCCAAATCATGTTTCCCTCCTGTTATTTGGGAAAGTTGGTTAATGGGCAAGAGATCTGTGCCCTCCACACTCTTTAGACTTAGCAGAAAGAATAGTCTAGAAAGCAGGACATCATCAAAAGAAAATCCTCATTTAAAAAGTTGTGAAAGGGACAGTCTTCGCCACCTCTGAAGGACATAGCATGTGTTTCTGTCATGCCGTTTAGGAACATGCAAGCGGCAAGGTTATTCTTCCATGGTATATTTCCACAGGGCTTCAAGGAACTTGGCAAAGTAGAGCTTTCTTGTACAAACATAATGCTGATTATCCTGTCAATTATGGTTCAACATTAATAAACCAAACTGAGCATGACTAGCTGACATTATTAAGGAATGCTTCCCCAGGAAAATGTGCACGCAGTCCTTCAACTCGAGAGCTTACCTTTACTTCCCAAAGCTGAAGCTGACAACAGCATTAAAGCTATTCTCCAACTGTACTGAACACTCCAACATGAAACAATCCCCATGTTTAAAAATGAATAGAAAAAACAGAAACATAGAGGCATGACAGAGGCTTACAAACACTTTGCAGATAAGATAGGTACACACACTTTTCTCCCATCCTTATAAATTTTGAAGCTTTGGCTTTTGAAATGTTTGATTGGCATTAGGCTCAGGACAGCTGTAAACTTCACATAAAACAACTGATGGAATTCACTGCCACAAGATGTGGCTACTAACAGGCGGCTTTTTTAAATTGTCATACAAATTCATGGAGTATTAAGTCCATCGATAGCTTATCAGTAACTGTAAGGTATGATAACTAAATCTATGGACCTATTAGGATAACCAAGGGATGGTTTATTACCCCTCATGTCATATTTTAAAGCTGGGCACTGTTAGGAAAAAAACATACGTAGTACAAGAAGGCCATTTTTTCTGACTGAGGCGTCAAAAACAAGCTCAAATAGAGACACTGGCTTTATAAACTATTATAACCAGTGCTGTACATCTGCTGCAGTACGACGAGTAAAGAGCTCCATTTCCGAAGGATCTGAGTTTTCATTTTAAAGAAGTTCCTAGAATTACCGTATTTTTTGCTCTATAAGACTCACCTTTTCCCTCCTAAAAAGTAAGGGGAAATGTGTGTGCGTCTTATGGAGTGAATGCAGGCTGCGCAGCTATCCCAGAAGCCAGAACAGCAAGAGGAATTGCTGCTTTCACTGCGCAGCGATCGCTTTTGCTGTTCTGGCTTCTGAGATTCAGAATATTTTTTTTCTTGTTTTCCTCCTCCAAAAACTAGGTGCGTCTTGTGGTCTGGTGCGTCTTATAGAGTGAAAAATATGGTATATGAGTGGAAGCTAAAGATTTCCTATTGGCAAGGACATGCCTCAACCACAATTATGCAAAATGAGAAGATACTAATTTGCTTAGTTTGCATAATTTATACAAGTCTCAAAAATGGGTTCATTTCTGGGTGAATTTGCTGTAGAACTACTCCCCCCCCCCAAAAAAAAGTCAGTACACACAGAGACCCGAATATAACATACTCTAACAGCAAGCTCTACTCTATTCCAGCTTTCTACTGGCAAGCAACAGAACACTCAGCCCTGCTCAGAGAGACTAAAATAGGCTAGATTACTTTCAGTGCCCTTTCTCTTACATGCTCCTAGAAATCTATGGAACAAAGCTTACTACTTTTTGCCACTATATAACTGAATCATTGGTGCTCCTAGGTCCTAAAATTTGCTTTGTATTGAAATGATGTTTTAAAGTGAACTGCAAACACAACTCAAGTGGCAAACAAGAACTCAAACAAATGAAGATAAAACTTGCATTAATTTAATGAGAACTATACGGATCATCCTTCCTGGTGGCAAGGGGCTGTTTCCTTTTCATGCAGATCTATTCTCTGTAACAATAATCCTTAAAGCCTTCATAAGCTCAGCTTCAGATATCATAAACAGCTCAAAAAACAGCACTATAAAAACAGCAGTGCCAGCAGGCATTGGACCAAGAGTCAGGTTGGAAGTGGAGCACTCAAGACAGCCATGGGGTGTGGGGCTTCCAGTGACCCAGGTGAGTTGGTGCGGCATGGCAGCGAGAGCTTAAAGGGTTTGCAACAGAGCAGCCAAGAAATGATGTATGGTACCACAACCATGGACGCAGGTGGTGCTGTGGTCTAAATCACAGAGCCTAGGGCTCGCCAATCAGAAGGTCGGCGGTTCGAATTTCTGCGACGGGGTGAGCTCCCGTTGCTCAGTCCCAGCTCCTGCCAACCTAGCAGTTTGAAAGCACATCAAAGTGCAAGTAGATAAATAGGTACCACTCCAGTGGGAAGGTAAACGGCGTTTCCGTGCGCTGCTTTGGTTCAGAAGCAGCTTAGTCATGCTGGCCACATGATCCGGAAGCTGTCTGTGGACAAACACCAGCTCCCTTGGCCAGTAAAGCGAGATGAGCGCCGCAACCCCAGTGTTGTCCACGACTGGACTTAATGGTCAGGGGTCCCTTTACCTTACCACAACCTTGGTGAATAATTTTTGCTAAGGGCTACTGAGGAGAGTAGTGGTTTCTCAAGAAAGCAGGGGAGAGTTGCACAAAAACCTCTTGGTATGGGCAGCACTTCTCATCACGCTTAAAGGTGTGATGAATCAATCCTTGGACTTTGGGTGGAAGCGGGGAATTAGACAATTAATTGGTCCTGTTTCGCCTTAACTGTGGGAGCCAAGGTAATCTAAGGAGCTGCCCTGATCCACTTTGCTTGATCTAGTGTGGGGGTAGCAGCTTCAATTTTTTCCCTTTTCTTTTAAAGATTGTCACAGTAAGTTAATACTGAGGAGTGGACGTTCAACAACACAATGCTTGTGTTGCAGGCAGAGCAAATTGTGTTCAATCAAAATTCCTGCACTTCCAAGTGGCAACGTTATCAGTAAGAGAGAAATGAAGGAAGGAAAATGAACGCTCTGCTGTTAATGCAAGTTTATTTTGTTTTATTACACATTACAGTGGTACCTTGGTTTAAGAACAGCTTAGTTTATGAACAACTTGGATTAAGAACGCTGCAAACCCGGAAGTAGGTGTTTTGGTTTGTGAACTTTGCCTTGGAATAAGAACATGTTCCGCTTCCTGTTGAGTGTGCTCCATTTGTAAACCGAGTCCCCCGCTGCTATAGGAAAGCACGCCTTGGTTTAAGAATGCTTTGGTTTAAGAACGGACTTCAGGACGGATTAAGTTCGTAAATCAAGGTACCACTGTACTAGGTAGTGTAGGAGAGGTGCAGGCTAGCCATCAGTGACAGTCCTGCCCATCTTATTCTGTTATTGAAAGAAACTACATCTATTTTTTTCAAACAAAGTAAGATTCTAGGGCTGGACTGAAAGACTGTGTATCGAATTTGCATGCAAAGCTCCCGATTTCTAAAACTGGATTCTAGTTGAGTCTTAGGGTGTATGGGAGAGGTGTGGTCAAATGAAGCTTGCAGAATCAACATGGGAGCCCAAGAGTTGAGTTTTAGCCAAGTTAAAGACAAACACTGACGCTGACAGAAATCAAGGAGAAAAGCAGCAATTTCAAGCAAATTATGCCCCATCTCTAGCTGTGAATTTGGGTCCTAGAGTAGCAAAACAAGCAGAACGGCTGGGATGCAGACTATTTAAATAAAACCAGGCTGTGTTTTAGGTTTCTACAATCACCTCCATTCACACTGCATAACATTTATTTTCCAGGGCCACCAGAATGTGAAGAGAGGTAAGATATAAAAGTAGTGAAAATTGTTACCCAATTGTAAAACGATGAGTGAGAGTTAATTGAGACTTAATTCAATCAACACAAATCTGTTCATTTAATGTAAGAAAAATAAAGTTCTAAGAATGCATTTATCAAATCAAGGACCGTAGAATCACAGAATCTGTAGAGATGAAAGGTAGCCTGAGGGTCATCTGATACAACTCCCTGCAATGCAGGAATCTCAAGAAAGCATCCATGACAGATGGCTACAACTTCTTCCTTTCCCAGTCTTAACCAGAATTTGGCATTCTCATCTTAACAAGGATTTGAAAGAGATCAACTCTGGTTAAGAGGGAATCTGGTTGGCATTAGCTGGTGCAGATGTAACGTTAAACCACTGTTAAAGAGGGCAGAGGGAAAGAAGGGAAAATTTGCTCCAGAAAGTGGAAGAGGAGGGAGAGAATGGAGCAATGTATTTCTTAACTATAGTTAATCAAAATGCTGTAATGTAAGGGTTACAGCATTCTGCCCAACTTTCTTCAAGGCGAAGGAATGGCAACAGGATCCTGGGATATCACCCAGAAAGCCCTTAAAAACACATGAATAAATTACACACAATCACACGACTACAGAAAAACAACCACGTGTACACAGCCATGTTCACACATCAAATTAACCATGGTTTATCTTGATTTCCACCAGTTGCATTGAACTTTAGATTCCTGCACCCCTCCTTCCACCTCCCTGTGTGGCTGGGAAGAAGCACGCAGGAGCTTTTAGTTTCACTTTGAGGAAATCATGACTTCCTGTTCCAGCGGAATCTGGAATTTTAGATCAATGCTACTTAGATTGATTTCAAAACAAGCCAACTTCAAACCTTGGGTTATGAAGCTGGTTTGTTTAAACCAACCAGAGTTAGCATTAACTCATGACCCCCAGTTTGGACAAAATGGGAAGTTGTGTTTTACCGAAAGCGAAAGCATCTACAGTCCTTGTTCCAGTCACAGAAGAAAGAGGAGCAGGGAGGAGCCCAAGGGTTACTAGGGTTGGACACATCACAATAAACCTTATCGTGATATGCAAACTAGGTCACTGTGCAAACAACTCCAAAATGTCAGGTGTCACGCTTTCACAATTAAATGAGCTTAAGAACCCTGCTTAGAATGACACTCCCATTTAGTGCCAAGTACTATAATTATAAACAAATCATTTCTCTTTCATCTACTCTTTTGATCAATGACACATTTAATCCAGTAAAAGCCTTTTAATCAAGAAAGCAATCTAACCAATTAGATAACCAATCACTGCAGCTTTCTGCAAAATGCCACTTGAACATTCATATATGGTGCAAAGGCTTTTGAACTAGTGTTTAAATATGATTGATGAACTCATTTAATGCAATATGCTGCCAACAGAAGCAAGCACTCATTAAAATGTTTTTCTTTTGGTTCAGGGCAGAAAGTGAAGGCAGGTAAGTTGTGTTGCAACACACACACACACACACACACACACACAATGTAAAGTGTCCTTACTCATGTTAATAGGAACGCAAAGCCACGGGATGGTTAGAATTTGTTTAAAATTATTATTATTTATTAAATTTATTAACTCTTGCCCAAGGCAACCCAAAGAGACACACAACCAGTACTAAATTAAAATGTGGCCTTTAAAAAGGTTATCAAAAGAAAATTATTCCAAGTGAATAAGCAAGCAGTAATGGGTAATGCTGGTGTCACAGCTTCACAACATAGTAGCTAAGTTATGAACTACAAACCCAGATGTCCTCAGTTCAAATATTGCTTCCCCTAGGAGCTCACAGATCTACCTCCTGGGAAGTCACTCTTAGGCTCAGTGTAATGGGGCTTTCCCCCTCTACCTCCCATGCCACTCCCACTGGTATGCAGAGGAAGGGTGGGCTGTTAATGGGTGTAGCCAGGCTTTATTGGGGGGAGGCTTTATGGGGGAGGACAAAACCAAGTTATCTGTGATGTGATTGGTCAGTTGGTTTTTTTATTTATTGACTTAATTTTGGGGGGCAGCTGCCCCCTTGAATATACCCATGGGGCTGTTCTAACTGGCAGCATGCTGAATTTCTCCCACAGCACTGTAGGATATAATCCACTGAGAGCAGTCAAGTACAACATTCCTTGTTTTCCTAGAGTGGACATGCAAGGGAATGTTTGGTCCAGCCAGTCGAAACTTCCTGTTCCTCCTGGCTTGGAGCATCCTTCCTTGCATGTGACTAGTGGGTGGGCCTGACTTTTCCAGACCTGGTAAAAGGACAAGGCATGCTGCCACTCTCTCTCTTTTCCATCTTCTTTTCGTCCTGCGAACTTCCTGAAATGAACAGCTGGCTGCCAACCGAGCAGTCCCTCAGGTCATCTCCCTTATGGGGTAAAGGCATTTTTATACATTTGTAACTTTAAGCCTAAAATCTGCCTTCAGGGATCACACTGTGCTCTGCCTGATCGTGAGTAAACTTTCTTTTTATTGCTTATGAATAAGACTGTGGTGTCTTTATTCTTTTAGGGGGGATTCAAGGGGGTCTTACCAGGAAAATATTAGAACACATTTCAATCTGGATAAGCCAGACTGAATTGTGTATTGTCTTAAGAAACTCACACGAGTTTGCAACTAGTTCTTTGCTGTGCGTGAGAAGGGGAATGTAAATTCTGCTAAGTAAAGGAACTTGCTAGTGCAAGTTAGGAAGGATATTAATAAACAATATATCCTCTCCTGCCACCCTGAACATTTCCACAAGCACTAGAATATATGGGTGGTATTCAATGCGAGTCCTGATTGTTCATTTCAATGGGTCTTCTGAGTAGCACTTAGTTAAATACTGGCTTTAGTGCACAAGCAG